ATTTTTTTTTTTGAATTTTGACAACATATGTAAAAATCACGAAAATCACGAAAATTCGCAAATTATTTTAAACTAGAAATTCATAAAAAATTTTCTTTTTAATTCTAAGATTTGAAAATTTTTAATAATCTATAATATATCCTAGACAGATAAACCGTCTTCGCTCAGAATCGTTTTTCATATACAATATAATAATATTATCATTGGATTAAAATTTAATTCCATCCATTACAGTAACCCACTTGTAACCTACTGTACTGACATCCACGACTTACCCGCCTTTTTTTATTTTGTTTTCTAATTTTACCATCATATTTAATATTATTATTTTTGAGTTTTAATATGATTTAAATTTAATTAATAATTATTGTATTTTAATAATATAATTAAYTATTTACTTTCACAACTGTGGACTTTCAACTGATGTATTTTAGCTATTGACTTCACATAAAATATTATATTGTATTATCGCGGTAAAAACAAACTGGTCGATTACTTTTGATTTCTATGTTAGAAAAAATACCTTTAGCATACTACATTGTGATTCTCTACGATATTCCATACCCAAAAGTCTCACAGAGGGTAAATTTTTTCTTTCAGGAAGGTTGTTTTATTATACTTACGTGTACTTTTTTTATTTGTTCTACCATTTGTAACTAATTTCATTGTACATTTTGGAACGAATGTTTTTTAACGATTCGATTCGCAAACATTATACACAGTAACAATGTCATAAAAATTAATTACTTGTTTAACAATGACTAAATATAGGGATGTATTTATATCGCCATAACCTGCTTGGAGATATGGCTAAATTTGGCATTCCTCCGAACGTTACCGTTATACCATTGATTATAAATACTATAGTATTTATAATCAATGGTTATACATTCTAGTTTACTACCGAAAGTTATATCGATTCGATTTGTCTACGATTATTTCTTGATTTACGATTACTTTGGCTGTGATAGCATAGATGCCACAGAAGTAAATTAATAGTTGGAAAATTGTTTTCTCAGTACTAATGCATGGGTGGTTACTGRTTCAGATTTAAGAATTTTATGTCGTAAACGTTTCAAAAGATATTGGGGCCTATGATCGCACCTATCAAATCATTGTTATATTATTCGCGTGATGTTAGATCACCTGAGAGGCCATAAAAGTGTACGTAGCTTTGTGCACCTGTTCGGTGGATCCGCACCGCAACAGTTCTTCATGCAACCGGAAGCACTCGAGTACCGGATCGGAACTGGACGACGTGGTGCACATGAAAGTCGGATTGCTGATGGCCCAGTACCCGTTCAACCGTTCGCAGCTGTCGGCCACCACATCGCCGCGTGCGGCCGCGGCCACGCACTTGTCGCTGCATGTGCACCGCGGTGGATGCGGTCTATCCAGCTTGTGACCGCGATTCACCAGGTATTCGACCGTCTCGTACAAGCCGCACTGCGTGGCCAACATCAGTGGCGTCATGAACTGCGGAAACTCTTCCGAATCGATGTCATTTTCCGGGTAATTTCCCTTAACGTCGTCATTTGACCGYAACCGATTCCAGCCGTTGCCTCTTCCCCGGTTTCCGCTCTTGTTGTAGGTCTCGTCGAATTCCAGCAGTCGGTCCAACATCTTGAGGTTGTCGTACGTGATCGCCAACAGCATTAAGTCCCCGATCTTGACGTCTGCAGTTTATATATAGGTACGTTACCAGCAATGATGATAGTTAGACACTGTCAAGAATGATTAGAATATAGTGAAAATGCCCGAGTTATGTAGGAATTTATATTATTTCCTTGTTATCTCATATTTTTTGACAATACCTAATCAATTTGGAAAATGGTGATAGAAATAGCTTTCTAAAAATATGAATATATTGACTAGGTGCAAATTATGATCGTTATGTCCCAATACTAGTATCTACCATAAAGTACTTACAACTAAATTGACTTGTCAATAAAATTTATTTTCACTAAAACAAATAAAATAGTATTTACATTTTACAGCCACATTTATGATGAGATTTACATTTTATTTTTAAAATCCTTGTGGTCCAGTAATAAACYTTATGCACAGGGTGAGCCAGTCGGCACTCTATATCATCAAAGATTARAAATATAGGTAAATAACTTCGTAGAAAAGTACGTTTGTAAACATACAACAACTTCTAATTAACTACAGTAACTATTTTTTAATAAACGATACATTTCATAGTTATTTCAGA